TATAGTATCTTACCTGGAATTGTAGTGAAAGTAGAAGCTAAATTAATCAGATCTTTCTAGCTCATTCCTGATGAGAAATCGGGGCTCACACCCATCAGCTATTTCACTCCCATCTGAGAGACCTCTCTGGGCAACTCCATAGAGGTTTACTGGGATTAATCACCCAGAAAAATGATGCACAAAGTGACAGCTCAAGTGCTTCCATGATCCGGGGGTATGATGACTTGTGTTGTTCTCTCTAAGCCATAGACTCAAGCTATAGTTTTTTAAAGAAGCTCCAACATAAAACCTTAGCGTCGTCATGCGCACAGGTACACAGTCTCACCTGTATTCCCTGGACTCAGTCAGCTAGTGTGTGCCCCCCCGAGGCTCTGGGTTGTAACTACATAGTAGTACTGCTCCTTTACCTTGAAAGTGACTCACTTTCCTCCATTTTCCTCCATTTTGGTAAAGGAAGCTGATGACGGTTTGAAGTATGAGGGGAGAAAAGCCAATTTTGTAGCAAGGAACAGCACCTACAAAGTTCATGCTTCGAAAGGAGAGCAGCTGGGACAAGTTTCACTAGCAGCGTGAGTTACAGTGGTCTGCAGGGAAGCAGTTTTGACAAAAGGAATAATTTGCAAAACAGAAGCAAAAACTTCAGTCACTGCAGAGATATGTCATAATACCCAGGTCAGGAAAAGTGATCCAATGCTTAGAAACGATACATTTTATAAGCTTGTTGGGAAAGGGGGTGAAAAACAACAAACAGTTCCCTAAGTGGATCATTTTAACACGTTAAGCGCCCAGTCAGTCACACGATACTTTTCGTCCAGAAGACAAAACAGGCTGGGTGCTTAACGATCCTCTCTATTTGGATGGTAAATATAATGCCTATGTTTATAAATCCAAGGATACTAAAAAGATATTTGATTTCTAAAAATTTAAATTACTGTTAAGAGTACATAAAATATAGAAATGGAAACCCAGTGACTGATATTTTTGCCTGCTTTTGTGTTGACCAGTCTTGAATTCAAGCACTTACTCAAGACAAGTTCCAAACTAGATACAAGGTGCTTTCCAAGCTGGAACTTTCTGCTCATTGTAAGCAGCAAGTTCATGGCTATTTAGTACAGTTTATCAGAACTGCATTTCTGCAAAACAGCCTTCCGATCGACACTTTTAGACCATGACCAACACTTCACTGTGATCAGTAACTCACTGAGTTGAACTCTGCAGCCATATATTGCACTTTACACTCACTAAAATATACCACTTTCTGTATTTTGTTTTTTCATTTTTGGATAATTCCTGAGCTCAGCCTAACCATTAGGTCATAAATTGATTATTATATTTTAAAGTCTCATTTTCTTTTCAGGATAACATATAGACCTACAGTTCTGTCCATTGAATGTGCTTAAAGCATTGGTATTTGCTTACAAAATTATAAAAAACTAGAGTCCATTTAGTCATGACATTTGTGTTGTCCCTCAGCCTGTGTAGGCTCCCCAGTTGCCCCGATTGGGATGTTGGGAGAGGTGGCCAAGAGAAGCGAAGGATGTTTGAAATGAAAGAAGGCACCCTGCCATGTCTTATATCCCCATTAGTAACAGCGAAAGGTCAGGGACAGGTACCGGAACAGAACGAACCCTCCTGGCTTAGGTGATCCAGGGAAGGCTTCCAGAGTCGAGCATCATCTGTTAGTAAAAATGTGGAGATTTTTATAGTCCTTGCCTACACCAGTGTTTCTCTGCTGTTTCGAGACGTCCTTCTGACTTGCTGAAATACGAAGGAAACAGAGAAAAGGAGATTCTTATAAAAAATGTGTCACTACTCATGCTTATTGCAGGAAGAATTCCTATGCTTTCTAATTACTAACTGCACAGGTCCCTCCGGGACAGACTTCATAATATTCCAGGCATCGAAGTGCATGAGCCCAACCAGGGGTTTCCCATTAATGGCAAGGATTTCATCCCCAGCTTCTATTGTTCCAGCCTGTTCAGCTGCACCACCTGTGAGAGTAAATACAGAATGAGGGCTTGGTACTTTCATGGTATTCACAATGAAGTCTAAGTAAGCTAAAACCATCAGTGAGAAAAATCTCAAAATATGTTTATAGTCTTAGGAGAGAGACCCATAAAAAGAAACCTGACTTTAAAAATTCAAATCTGTAACCTTTTCTGTGAAAAATCTAAGCAGCTGAGAAGATATTTCAAAAGAATACAAAATAAAGAGAAACTTGAACAAAGGAAATCAATAGCTAAAATCCAAATGGCCAATAAATGCAGGGAAACAGGTTCAACTTCTGTTAACCCTTTGTGGTCGTTTGTCTACTCCCAGCTACCAAAGCTTTTTTACCGTTCCAGTCGTATGTCTGCTCTCAGCCACCACAGCAAGGAACCGTACGAATCTTAACTCTAGTCATTCATGTACCAGTTCATAATTTCTCTGAAAGCTCTTAAGTGTCTAAGCGACCTTGTCACGAACCAAAACATTGCTCCGACAAATCAGAGATATCGAAACTCAATATAAACAAACGCGGTCGTTCCACACTCGCCATGCAAAACATCGTGGCGAGTCAGTCGCCTTTTGAGAGTGAAGAAATCGACAAGCTTCGGAGATACTTCGCAGAATTTCAAATAAAGCTTTACAAATTACGTTTAACTGTAATTAGGCATTCTCGCTTGTTAAGGTATTTCAAAATAATACTCCAAAATGGCAAAAAGAAAGTTACCGAAAGAAGTGTACTGCGAATCTGAAAGTAACGATGAAGAGTTTTATTTTGGCACCTTGAATACTGACTCTGACGTAGAAAGTAGTGATTCTACTAGTAGTGACGTAGTTCCAAAAAAGAATTAATAAATCTTGTTTATCCTTCATAATCTTGCATGTTATGTATCACTGCTCTTTCAATGGAAATTAATTCCGACCAGTACGACACCCTCGCAGCCCACAGTTCCAAGGTGCATGAATTTGTGCACTGGGGCCCTAGTATGTTATAAAGCAGTGATGGCGAACCTATGACACACATGTCAGAGGTGACACGCGAACTCATTTTTTTGGTTGAATTTTCTTTGTTAAATGGCATTTAAATATATAAAATAAATATCAAAAATGTAAGTCTTTGTTTTACTATGGTTGCAAATATCAAAAAATTTCTATATGTGACACGGCACCAGAGTTAAGTTAGGGTTTTTCAAAATGCTGACACGCCGAACTCAAAAGGTTCGCCATCACTGTTATAAAGCATGAAAAACACTTTAGATCTTTTAAAACAAATTTGATTTCCAAATGGAAGGGGCACTGACATACACAGAAATTATAGATAGTGGACGGCGGATTGTGTTTTCTGGGACATTACCTTTGTACACTCTCTTGATGAACAGGGGCCCATCCCCAGACATGGATGATTTTCCTCCATCCAGGCTCAATCCCAGCCCAGCCGAGGTCTTCAGTACTTCAACGCACAGAGCGTCCTGTGCAGCTCCTCTTCTCCCTGCAGTGAAGATGGAGACAACAGGGACACTCACTACCTCCTGTCGTGTCCCGTTTACCTTGAAGTGCTGATGACAACGTTTGAGACCAGTGTTAGGTTTGGTCTCCCCTCCTGGCTGTGTTCCTGCAGTTCCTGCACCTCTGCTCTTCTAATCAACCGTCTGCAAGTGTGGAGCAGGCCTTCATGCCCAAGCAGAAACCTCCAGAGGCCCCCGTGTCGGCGCACGTCTCCGTGAAGACTGAAGTCCCACTTGGGACCCAGCCTGTGCTTCAGAAGCAGTGCCCATTCTGAGTCAGCGCTTAGTGTGGCTTACTGTGGAGCCTGGGACGACAGTGCAGCGACTGTCTTTAAACACCCTCCTTTCTGGATGTTCCCAGGACAAAACTCAGCCTGGAGCTTCTCTCACCTTTCAGTCTCCCTGAACAAGGGTTTCTTGTTTTACTTACCAACCACTTAAGCCCTAATAGGATGGAAATTCAAAAGGGCTTCCTTAGGACATTGAGAAGCTGTCAAATGGTCATTTACGTCTTCAGTAGTATGGCTTTAACTACTGGGTCGTTTTTAAATAAGTTATTTGTAACACGGCTTTTGCTGGAAGCATCCCACAAACACTAGACTTCACTACATTTAATTTCTCTGACCCAACTAATAAGGTAATGGCCATTATTTTCCTTTGTGTTCAGCCCGAGTCTATGCTGCTCACACCCTGCTGGCTGGTGAGGGGGGGTGTCTTACCCATTCCCATTCCAGGCTCCAAGGAGATGGTCTCTCTGGACAGTGAGCCCTTCCCGTTGGCTGTGTGTGGCTCCTGCCGGGTGGAGGGCCTGGGCTGGTCATTTCCTTTCTTGATGACCACGAGGACATCTTTGTGCAGCTGTGCCTGGTGCAGAACCTTCAGGACATCCCCATGGGCCAAGCCAGCTAGTGAGGCACCATTGACTGACAGGAGGAAATCCCCTCGGTTCATAGTCCCTTCTTGAGAAGCTGCCCCCTGAGAAAATACCCTGTGGACCTGGGACAAGGACAGGACAAGCCAAAGTCATTTATGACCTCCAGTAAAAGCCAAGGGTCTGCAGTAAAGGAACCTTCTAAAGGCAAATTTCCCAAGTCATGCAAACACTTGGTGTATATCAAAACACATCAGTGTGAGGGGTGGAATGACAAACATCAGTGCCCAGCATCATGTCTGATAAGTGCCTAACACTCAAGGGGGCAGTAACACTACAAAGAGGAACAGGACCTGACCTTGTCCAGGAAAGGTGGCATCTCCCTAATGATCTCACAGGCTTGAGTGATGCAAAACTTAAAGGTGGTGGTTCTTAAGTAATTTCATAAGCAAAAGCGGGTATGGCCAGTTAATTCTAATGTCTTTCTGAATAAACAAAGTATTGAGGTGAATTCAAGGCTATACATAATTGTGTTTATGTGTATTGGCACCTAATAGGTCACTTAGCCTGTTTATGTGTGAAAAGGCTTATCTTTGTCGATGAAAATATTATGTACTGCTTTTCCTCCTTTTGTTCAGGTGGCCGTGAACAAACTCCAGCAACCTGTGAACTCACTGACGGGAGTTTTGTCCTACTCGAACTCAGACCTGCTTCAGCATGACTTCCCCGAGAGCATCTCCACATTCTCACTCACCACAATTGCATTTGGCTCCTCATCCATCCCTCCTGCCACACTGAATCCCAGACCCGAGCCTTCTTTTTTGGTCAAGACTATAAAGCAGACATCTTCTTTATTCTATTGAGAAGAAACAGAAGGAAAAAGTATATTCCCTGTGCCAAGAGTAACAGGTGAGTACTGACACAAAGCCCCCTAGAGCTACAGTTTATCCCCAGGAAACCCAGTGGTTCCTCAGGAGCTTTCACAGGGTTTCAACTAGAGGAGCCACGACTCCACTGTGCTGCGCTTCTGGGTGGTGCCTTTACAGGTTTTCGAGGGTCCAGCCTGTAGCTACAGAACCACGGGAAGGCAGGCATGGATGGGACACTTGAGAAGCCAGTCTAGCCACCAAATGGCGTCCTCCCAAATTTGATCATGAAGGGAATTCCTTATTCTACAGTTGTGTCTATAGTTCAGCAGCAAAGGGAGATGCGTAGGTGCCAAGAGCCAGGTAAAAGCACGCTGAGGCTACGTGTTCTATGCCCTCCACCTCCCGTGCTCAGTTCACTGGATTCCACGTGCAGTCAGTGAACCAGTACTCATAAAATACAAAGTATGTTTAAAGGTATAAAGTATGTCACAATATTAGAGTACATTAGAGCTGTCAACTCCTGTATTGGACATTCTTAGTAGTGTTCTAAGGTTAAGAACAAAAGACCGCCCATGTTTCAAGCACTGATCTAAAGATACCTTGATAAGAGATTTTAAAATAAAAATGAGCTGGGCTAATTATACTGAATTTTGAGTTCTTCCACCCACACGCTAGAGATGACTCAAAACATTTTAAAGATCTGCTGGGTTTCCCATCAAGTGATATATAATCCATCAATTTCAGGTGCTCTCAAACAGCGATAGAGGAAGAATTTAATAACCTTTAAGGATTGCTTTGACAAGAGAAAGTGAAAACGTTGGAATAGAAAACCACCTCTGTATTGTGCTGGAAAAGGAACCCAATATTTGAAAAGTGTTGGCTCTATTAGTTAAGTCCTAAGACCTAATCTTAGTCATTTTACATTTCTCTAAAGTTCATTCAAACCAAGGCTCCATATGCTAACAACACAATGTCCTGCAGAACTTTTTGGGGGTTAGGATTTCCACGTTATGGGCAAATTCGACCATATATGTGCTCAGGCACCATTCAATGGAGAGAATGATGATAGCTTAAAAAAATGGGAGATGTGGCCTGCAGATGAGCTCCATGCAGTTGCTCAGAGGTAACGTTTGATGCTGAAATAGGGCTACTTCTATTTAAATGTATTATTGGATCAAAGAGACAATACTTGAAAATGGGACTCTCCTGTGTCCCGGGACATATTATCACCAAAGCTTTAATTTATTCAAATTATTTACAGCATACTGAAAGCTGATCGATCGTCAGGCCGGATTTTGCTTCTGAGAAGCTCAGTACAGCATCAGGAAAGCTAGAATCACCATCAGGGGCTCCCCAAGGTTTAGCTCTCCAGAAACCAGAAGACCAGGGCTTGTTTTTTGACTCTAGTCTCTCACAGCGCCCTCAGAAGCCAAAGAAACTGTTCTGAACAGTTCCATTTTCAGCACCTACACACCATACTCATTGAGAAAAAGCAAGGCAGGAAACTTCTGGTCTAAAGATGGCAGAGTGAGGACATCTGTACTCGCCCAGAACCAACTGAAGACAGCTGCATGTTGACGAAAACAAGCATGGTCTTCAACACCACACACAACGCCTGCCTGGTGGTGAATAGGAACTGAGGTGAGGGAGGCCCCAGATGACTCCAGGTGGCGCTTGGCACCTGTGCACACACACAGTCTACTCTGGGGGCCCTCCCTTTTGTGAGGTTGGTTGAGACCATTTTATCTAACATGAGTACAGGTGGCCCCTGGCACAGCGTGATCAGACCTTGACTGGAAATCGCCAAGTGAGTCCACGTGCAAAATGCTTACTGCAACAAGTGGAAGGAGGAAGGAGACAATAGATTAGTCCCTTTTACTAAAAGTGAAAAATGCTAGATGCCTCACGGTATTTCCTGGCTGCACAGACCCAGACCAGTGGACGGAGAACCAGGAGAGGCCGCTAATGGCCACTGGTCTCATCCCACCCACCTCCTCTCCCTCTGGCTCACTCCTCATTGGAGGCCAGCGTCACAGCCCTTCTAGTGTTAGAATTCTGGATGATACCAGTGACCCAGGTACTCAAGGAAAATTGTTTATACTTGCTTTTTTCTCTAAGTAGAAAATTTTCATTTCTTAGGGTTCGAATCTCTGTGGATAGTCCCGAGGAGTATTCTAGATAGGAACCTCTGGTTTCAATTGTTACTGTTACCGTCACATCCAATTTTTTATGACTATTTAGCTTCTTTGTCTGGAACCCCAGGCTTCAGAAACTCTTACACTTGGAGCCAGGGCAAGGCCACACAGGCATTAACTCATCTGCCCAGCAGGTGGCGCCCTTGACAGGTAGTTTATGTCCACCTAGGTGGACAAAGGTGCTTGTGCTCATTCTCCACCACAAGTACCTTTGAGGACTCTCTGCAGACAAACTCCAAATGCAGGGTGGGGTGGGGAGATCAGTAACTAGTCCCCACTGGGGAATTAAATGAGCAACTGCACCAATCTGGCACTTAAAAACGCAAGGCAAGGTTTAGCTTCTAAGGCAGTCTGCAAGCAAGTGAGATTGGGCTGTGAGCTCACAACAGGAGACCTGGAGGAGGGCTCACAGACCTCTGAGTGCGTGGCCGTACCTGGGTACTGACGTGGCAGCAGTTCTGTGTCCCTGTGTTCCCTGCATTTCACTCACCTCTGATTGTGCTTTCGCTTCCTGCATGAGAGTCAGGATGGTAGATTTCGACCTCGCCAATGACAAGACAGACTGTAATCTTTGCTGGTCCCCCGCTGAGACTAGAAGTTGATCCAAACTAAATAATACACATACATTAGGAGAACATTAAAGAAAAAACAATTTCTCTATTTTGTAACGACGCATTTAAAACGATCTCCTTGAGATTGTATTGTAGATATTTTCAGTGGAAATAACTATGGATTCAGGGATTCCCCAAGGTGTTAGGGGACCAATGTGGTAAACAAAAGTTGTTATATTAAAAAATATACAATGTATAGGCTCAAATGAAATGTTTTAAGATGTTATTGATTTCCTGTTTAATTGCAGTCACCTTCACAGATCCCAATTCTTCCCTGAGGCACAGCCCTGTCCACCACCACCTCTGAGCAGTTCCCTAGTGAGAAGCCTCTCCTGAGCACAACATTAGGACAAACACGTCCCCTGCAGGCACCACGTCTCTGTAATGGTATTGAAAACAAGGGGCTAAATGTGATGTTGCTATCCTGGGCTGGATGCTGGAGCAAAAAAGGACATTTTGGGGATTTATTCAGTGACGTCTGAATCAAGTCTGTAGTAATTGTGTTCCAGTATTAACTTATTTTGATTAATGGATGGTGGTAGTATATGATGCTAACATTAGGAAGAGCTGGGTGAGCGGTGCATGGAAACTGCATTATCTTTGAAACATTTCTATAAATCTTAAAACTAGTGCATAATAATAATCAAAGTAAAGGGCAGATACTTACTTAACTGACCAGCTTTTTCCAGAGGGCAGCTCCCGGGTGGTTTCACTCATATTGGCTGAACTGGGTGCCCCAGGCTCACTGGCTTTAGGCCTGCTTCCACCTGGACAGGCCCTGTCTGCCCCCTGCACAGGACACAAAAGGGCAGTGGCCCCATTGAGGCCTCCGGCAGGGGAGCCAGGAGACCTCCTAGGCACGATCTCCAGCTCTGTCTTGAAGAGCACAGCCGTGGGCCCTGCGGGGAAGTCCTCACTGCAGAGCTTGTCGAGGTCGGGCATACTCAAGGCCCTCAGCTCCTGGAGCTTGGAGCGAGATACCGGCGAGGGCTGGGTGTGGCGCACTGAGGACTTGTTCTTCTTGATGGGAGAGGCCGGGGTCACCATTGGGGTGGGGATTCCGGAAGGACCAAGCGATTGCTTCGGGTCGGAATCAGGGCCCTTGTTCCTGGCCTCCACCGGGTGATGCCGGGGGACGGTCAGTGTCATGCTGGACGGGGACTTGGTCATCTGGGGGATGAGGGTGCTGGCTTCGCCCTGGCTTTCGCTGCAGGAACTCAGGCTGCGTCGCAGTGACCTCGCTGCCAGGTCACTGGGATGGCTGAGGCTTCCTGAAACTACACTGCCAGAGGACCGTCTCCCAATGGGAGGCTTGGAGCTCACAGACAAAAAAGCGGAAGCCCCAGACTTGGCCAGGGACCGGTCCGAGTTGGCCAGGTTCTCAAAGGACTTGATCCTCTGCTTCACCGAGAAGAATGAGGTAGATTCGTGGGGCCAGTGCTGCTCCAAGTAGTAGTGTCTTCTGGTGACTCGGATTTTGTCGGTGAGGAGGCAGCTCGTGTCCTGCACTGAAAGGACGTCCCCTTCGTCGGTGGTTGGGAGGGCCCGCGACGTCTCCAGCAGGGGCTTCACACTGTAGACGCTTGGTCCGTTAGCCAGGCCAAGACCTCCGCCTCTGCACCCCTTGGCCTCCGGGCCGCTTGTCCCGGGGATCTGGCTGTCCCGGTGGGAGCGCCCTGGGCTGTGCAGGGAAGGCCCTTCCCGTCCAAAATGGCTCGAGAACTGGGCTGGCATGGAGTAGGTCCTGGTTGCTGGCCTTGGCGTGAAATAGGGATGCTCATCCATAGGGGCCGCTGCTGTGCTGTTCTTGGGCATCTCCGGGCAGGCTGGCACCTGGCTCGACTTCCCCGGGGAGGAGGCGGCCAGCTTCGCCACGCTGAAGGAGCGCTGCATTTCCGGCTCCACCGGGGCGGCGCGGGATGCCAGTGCAGGTGCGTGGTTTGGGGACGATTCCACTGGCTGGTGGCAGAGTCTAAGTTCACTCTTCTGACCGTTGCTCGGGGTCACGAACCCTCCCTGTCTACCCCTTTCCGCTGGCGTGTCACCACATGCATTTTTTGGCATTCTTTCAGAAGAAATTTCAACTATTTTCAGCTGGTTGGTTCTTTCTGGGGGATCATTAGCAATTGTGTTGCTTCCTTTGTCACCACCAGTCACCCCAGGTTGGGCTGCTTCGGGTACTGAATATGCGAGCTGCTGGCCCTGCTGGGGAGGTGGGGGTTCCCGCCGGTCCACTGCTGTGGACGTGCTGCTCCTCGAGGTGGCGGGACCTGTCCCCGAGGCCGCCTTGCTCTCTGGTCCACACTTAGGTCTGGGGGCAGCCGGGCTGCCTCTGTCGGGTCCGGAGTGCACAGACGCATGGAACCTGTTGCCCGCACCTTGCTCAGGAAGAGCCCTGGGGGAGGTGAGGGGCGAAGCGAGTGGTCTGATGCTCGTGTCGGAGGCTGACAGCCTCAGTGACCCCGAGGCTGCAGGGGGTGGCTTGCTCTCCGGCGCACACTGGGGAGACCTGGCGGTGGCTGCGGCATTTTTGCCAGGTTCCTCGTGGTCAGCTCCGTGGGACCGGTGTGACGTGACCTTGGAGAGCATTTTGTGGGAGGCCTGGGGTGAGACCAGGGACCTCCTGGGGTCCGTCCCTCCGGCCTTAGGCGTGTTAGCTGCAGGGCCCTCGGCGCTGCCTTTGCTTTTGCTCTTGCTGCTCAGCCTCTTCAGCTTAGCACTGGACTTGGGTTTCTGACCATTACTTACAAGGGTCTCCACGGAGCTTTTTTTAGGTGGGTCTTTATTTTCAAGATTCAGTTTCAGCGGAGGAGGGCTATTCGGCACAGCAACCCCCTTTCTGTGGCTTGTGCTCAGCACCTGACTTTTGGAGTCAGGACTGGTGGCTGGCATGGCGGGTTGCCCCTTGTCAGTCCTGCTCTGCAAATGAGCACCTTGGTTGCTTTTATTGATCTCTTTAAACCAGGCCATGATGGGCCTCCTGGAGACCAGTTTTGGTTTCTGTAGCGGGTCCTCCAGGTCTTGGCTTTTGGAGCTGTGCAGGTTTGCCAGGGCACATTCCCCGTTCTCAGGGGCACCCGCACTTTCAGTTGCATTCACACTTGTTTCTTGTTTTTCACCTGTGGTTTCACCATCCAAATCGTGTCCCAAACCATTCACCATGTTGGGAGAGCTGAGGGCGACCTGGGCGCTGTGAAGATGCCTGGCGGCTGCGGAGGGCTGGTGGTTTTCCACAGCTGAGCCAGTGCTGGGGGCCCCCTGGTGCTGTGGAATCTGTGGGTCCACGGGAGGTTCACGCCCCTGAGCACTTCTGCCCCCGAGGGGAGACGGCTGGGCAGAGCTCGGGGTTGGAGGGCACGAGGCTCCCGGCATGAAGTAGGCTCTCTCGCGTGGACTTCCCACGGCCTCACCCAGAGCGCTGTGCCGCAGGGGCAGGCCTCTGGCTGGCACAGGGCAGGGCGCCTCCTGGGCAGGCATGGGCCCTGCCATGGAGGTTGGGGTGGGGAAACCCCCTGTGGAATAGATTTCAATTTGCTCCTCCTCCGATTCTGTAGTGTCTTCCCTGTGAGAAGACCCACGAGAACGAGTAGGTGACCGGGTGTCCCTGGTGCAAGCTCGCAGGGCATCAGGGAGCGACTCGGGGTCAGAGGATGAGTCCTCAGCGTCCCCGTACATGGAGGAGAGAGACAGCTCCATGCTGTCAGCAGGGCCTGACAGGGATGCGCTGTCCTCGTGAAAACTGCTGAGATTTCTAGAATAGTTGCTCAGAAAGTTTTTGTTCACAGTAAAATGTTTGTCAGGATTAACTGAATCCAAAACAGAAGGCTGGGAGGTCCAGGGGGGTGGAGGGGGTTGGCACGCCGCCCAGGCCCTCTTGGGGGTGGGGGCCTGGTTCCCGGTGGCTGTTTCAGCTCGGCGGGCGCTTCCTCCTGCAGCTCCTGTGGGCAGCTGACCCTGAGCACTGCCCTCCAGCCTCGCTCGGTGCCCTCTGTCCGGAGACGGAAGTCTTCCTTCCGAGGCATCCTGCTCCTCGAGGCATCTGTCCACATTGGTCACAGGGCAGCGGTGCTCCGAGGCACCACCACACCCCCCTCTGGCCCGGTCAGTGGGTGACGTCCAGGAGTGGCTGGCCTGTGGTGCCCTCCCAGGCTCGGAGTCCGTTCCCTCAAGCCCAGCAGACTCCCAGGAGGGTGCAGGCACGAGGGTCCCTGCCAGAGTTTGGCTGTGGTCGCCTGCAACTCCTCGTGTGCCCTGGCCTGTGAGGAGGGCTGGTGACAGGACAGTGCTGGCTGCAGCCGCTCCCTCTGCCCCAGGCCCTGCTCCCCCAGGGGCAGCTGCCTTGCTGGTGGTGTCGGGCCCGCCGGTGTCCAGGGGATGAGACCCTGCTGTCTTCCCTGGGGAGGTGCTGTGGACCCGGGCAGGGCTGCCCTGACGTCTGTCCTCAGACTTGGGGGCCCTGGGCGGCACTGGCTCTCTGGGGTCCTCAGGCCACCTCCCATGTCCTGCATCCATGGAGGTCTTGCTGGGGTCCGGGTGAGCAGCCCCCTTTTGCCCTGGGGAAGGGACAAGGTCTGGGGAGCCATCCAGTCCTGTGTCAAGAAGGTAAACAGAAGGTGGAGTGGGAGAGGAGAAGAAAAAGGGGAAATGTGAGAAGAAAAATAAAGTAAAATATGGAAAACTGTAAGCAATCTGTCTTCCTGGTCTTTTCAGAAAGACATTCCACAGGCAGGCAGTCCTTGTGTTCACCACGTGCCTCATGTACTCTAAGGCACACGCCACAAACGGGTGAGGGGTGTCGCCTGGACGGAGAGGCACACTGCCGTGGCGTGAGACGCAGGCAGCTTTTATGTATGGTGAACCTGTGTAAGGGTTTTCCCACCTGTTCAAATTCTCCACATGTAATGATTTTTAGGGGAACTTCTACCCTCCCCTGTAGAAGCATAGCGAATGGTAAACTAATCTTACCCGTCCCAGGGTATTGCCCCTGGTCTGGTCCAGCTTCGGGCAGGCTCTCTGGGAGGCGGCCAGCTCCTGGGTGGGGCCCATGCCCAATGGTCAGCTTCCCCGGAGAGTCCTGGCACAATGACAACAGCAAGTCACTGTCAATAGCTCCCCAAGACGTCATACCCAGAGGAGAGCTGGTTGGGAAAATTCAGAAATCCCAGACTAGGGGCCGCAGAACAGGACTAGAAACTGCGTGGTCTGATCACT